TGATGCTAAGAGCAGCGCCAGTATCCACCAAGAAATTCAAGCCCGAGTTTCTGTCTCTAACATAAAACAAGCGACTGTTTAGGCGCCCCTCCTCAGTCGTCGCGACCTGGGGAGGGGTTACTCGTTTCCCGCTGACTTGGAATTATGCTTAGGCCAGGCGCATGGTTGCATGCACTTGGTTGAGTTGACACCAAACTTCCAGTGGTACCAACAAAACTGCCCAGATTGTCTGGACATTTGTGACCTGTTTTGTGACTTGGATCGTGGTCGTTGTGGTGACCTGCTCCTGTTTCTATGACCCATTTGCATTCTGGTGACAGCCTCAGTGAGACTCTTAACACTCGCAATGAGTCCTTCTATTACGGGGTCTTTTGCTGATTCTACTTTTTGTGTGTGACTTATTATGCCTGATCCAGTTGGAGGACCTCTTTCCATTATTCTGTCGGCTATACGCGCTAAATGAGATAATGAGGTTTCAGGATCCTGTGCATCCAAACAGTGTTGGACGTAGCATGGGAGAGCTTGTATCCATCCTTGTTTTAGGACTGCTTCACCCACTGTGTTATCACCCACTAAGACTTGGAGGTGACGTAAAAACTGTGACGGCGACCGATCACCTAGTGTTTCACCTTGAAAAAGTCTTTGGATTCTTTGACCATCTGATAATGATAAACGGTTCATTATCTCTCGTCTTAAGATAGTGTATGGTTGTGGTGATGGTGGACTCAAAATCAAGTCACGGACTTCTTTGGCGACTGAAGGAGGAAGGATAGAACACAAGTCTCTATAGCGAATCCCTTCAGATTTGATATTGTGTCTCGTGAAATAATGCTCTAGTTGAGCAAACCACAACTCAGGATCACTACGATCAAATTCTGGAAGTCGGGATTTCGTAGTCATAACAGTGTCTATCTCCACTGGTGACAAATCCTCCAGATTATGGGTTTCTATTGAGTCTGACATGAGGTATGTGACAAATATAACAATAAAGTTAGCACAAAAAGTGGTTACTATAACACGAATAACTTAAGATAATACGGAATAAACTAGTTATATACTCAAATTAGTTTACGGATAATCAGGTCTACTTTTACGATTAAATAAAAAAATGTTAATAACAGAAATGAGGTTAAATTTGTGTTCAAAAAGGGCTCACCAATTTCGTGCCTTAAAGTAACCCTCGTGCTATTGATAGAAGAAACCAGAGAAGTAGTGAATAGGTCTTTATTTCGATCTCAGCGCGGTAACAGAGGAGCGTCGGATTACCTGTTCAGACAAACAAAGGCTCTCAACATTCAATATAAGATAATAGGGAATATAACGCTTATACAAAACAAGGAAGTGAATGAATACTTGAACAGTACTGTTTTGGCATATGCTTGGTTGTTTGGGGTCAACTCTTAACCAACCAACCTAGGCTGTTACATGATATTCGACTATCTACGGGTATTGTTCTGAAGAATGTCGGAAAATCGATGGTGCGAATTCTAGACATCGATGACTTAAGTACACACAGTCGACATGTAGATCAAATACAATTTCAGGAACCAGGTGAGTCAGTTCCAATTTCGATTGTTAATTCTAATTCTAATGAGCATATTCTAGATAATACAGAATCCTTATTCAATACAATGTCAGACAGACTCAGGATGAATTTGAGAAGAAGACGTACGATTGATTACAAACACCTAGATTCCAATTTAAGCTCTGGTGGATGTGGTGTTGAATGAACCAATGATACCTTTGTACTTGTTGAATGCTTGATTTCGAATTCCAAATAAATACATCTGTTCGTGCTTATCTAGTACTTCTTGATCCAATTGCGTTATTTATAGGATTCCTAGTTTGTACTACAGTTCAACTACTCCTAATTATCACAATTACACATGGTCTTTGGCACAGTTTTGCATTATCTATAATCCGTTAAACAGAAAAAAAGGTTGCTGGCCAATAAATTTCGGCTTACCGTATTCACAGTAACTTCTGATACGAGAGGACGTCATAAACAATTGAATTAATATACTTAACATTCCAGAGCAGACAATTTATCTCCTCACTTCACAGAATCGCTTGATACATGATATTAATTGGTCTACCGTACAAATAAACAAAATGTATATCTGAAAGTGGAGTCTATAAAGTTGATATTTAGGAACTTGACCTTTGAAATAACTGCAAACACTCTGTACCTTTTAAACAAGAAGAAACAACCAACTAAGAAATTTTATGTGCTTGACAACTTATCTGCAGAACCTTAACAGCAGTGATGTGCATATGATGATAGTTCATTACATCACAGCTTCCAGTATGTTAACCTGTTCTGATGACTGATTACAGCGCAGTGAAACAGACAACTTCTGTGTTCGGAATGCATATTGAGGTCTTTTATTAGCCTGAATATTCTTTTGGGTACACGCTGCGACCACTAGTTGAGGTAGAGATCCAGTCGTTTATTATTTCTTGTCAACTGGGAGGTGGTTTATCTTCAGGAAGAAGGAAGTGTTCGGATAAGATCAGCACAAGTCAGTCGACTTATCAGCAGTTTCGCCTTCGACTTTAAGGTGAAGTAATAAGATGTGAATCTTACTGTCTTGTCACTGGTCCTCAGCATAAGAACTACAGGGTTGGACGAAAAACTGTAAGGGTGTTTATCTACGACCGTGTATTATCCATCAATTCTATCATTAAAATACGGATTATGCAAACAAAGTGAGTTGTTTGATAAAACACATTTATCGTAGATTTTGTTATTGAAAGTGGTTCGTTCCAACCATAGCCTGTAAAGAAAGTTAAGAAGTTTGTTAAGAAATGACCTCACTGACTTTATTGCTGTTCCATCACTTTGTGCTGTAATAGGCCACAGAAAACATCTTAGCAGACGTTTATGCTGTAAGCACTAGAGTTTTCATGAGCAAATAAACTTCAATGCTGATTTCTTACGATTTTAATAATGAACGAGACATTAAACGGAATCCACAGCTGTATCTAACATCCGTGTCATGTTCTAGATGGTGGAAGTTGAGAAAGTATAAGTTAGACGGTCACATTATGTTGAGTCATAAACATTATATCAAGGTTATCAGTCTAGTAGCGTAAAGATGTGGAATAAAACCATGTTGATTCTCTCCCTTCGAATTAATTCTGGTGGAAATATGTGTTTCACGAATTAAGGAGAAATGTTAATCGAATCTTAAGGTATTGCTTGCGTAGTTTTTGTGCTTCAATTGTTATCGAGTAATTGCAATGAAAAGAAATATCAAAGTATCTCTAAATGTTCAAAACAATCTTTTAGCGATGGAATATCTAGAAAAATATGAAATTATAATACAACGAGTATTGTAAGGACCTATTATGCGATGTAAATATCCTCTTAACTTCCTTAGATCGCCAAAAGTATGAATAACTTGAATCCATAAAGTCATAAATCAATTTTATTAATGCAGAACTTCTCAGTAAGTTGGCCCCAAACCACTAGATATTAAACAGGTATATTTCGGTTAGAATTCCTTTGGTAATAATTCAAATATGACCTACTTAAGATATAATATTCTGAAAGCCATGTCACTTGAAGGCTGAGTGAACACTCAAACTTTGCTCAATAACGAGATTCATCACGTTTTGCTGATTTTAGACAACATACTTCACTTGAGAGTGGTAAACTAATAATTTCAAGATTACTGTAGGTATGCAAATGCTTACAGATGAAACCAAAGTCAACGTAACGGAAAGAATAAGCTAGAATCATTCGACAGCATTACATTGGACTGTATTTTTACTTATTTATTACTTCTCCCAGTCTTGCACTGTAGCCTTTATCCAAATCTCCTTTTAACGTCACTTGATGTCCCTTAATCTTCGTTACTGGGTACCTTTTCCTGCTTGGGAAAGTTTCTGCAATCATTGCGGTTAGATATCTGATCCCAACTTGTTGGGAATATTTTTTATTGATTCTTGAGTATCGAACCCTTAATTTATCGGCTACTCTATTTTCAACACTTCGACGAGTAAAATAGTTCACTTGAGATATATTTCAGATAACTCATAAAACTCAGGTACCTTTCGTTTAGATATGTTCAAAGTTCTAGGAGTCTCGGCACCCAATTATCCAAGTTTTACGCTAGCTGAGACGAAAATGCCTTTTGGGCAGACCTTACACTAGCAACTCTAAAGTGCATTTTTGAGAATTTTGAATGCAGTAATTTTCATTTAATTTCTAAGTTTTATTCATGTAGAGTATGGAAACATGGTTTTTCCTTTCTCACTCCAATCAAATAAAAATACACTAAGTAGTGTCCCAATGCGAGCCATGAAATCAGTTCGAGGACTTAAACACCATGGGCCACTGTATTGTTGCTTACTAAGGTATAAGCACCTCAAATGTGACCTAATTATTTGTAACATTCTAAGCACTCTCAAGTATCTAATATTTATACTTGATCTCAGCTCCAAGAAAAGCCTTAATGGAAACAAATAGAATTTGCGGGTAAAATATGGCAGAAAGGACTGTTGATACGAGTTCCACATTTCATAAGTAGTAGAATTCAGGAATTGCAGCTGGCTGAAATAGCCATTCTTACGAACTAAGAACATTATTTTGCTAAAATTCGCTAATTTTTCTCTTTTCTGTCATACATAACTAGGTTTTTACCTAAAGGCATCGGTGATCCTCTGATACCATTTACGGTAACTCATAAAGAGAAAGATTCCCTTCCGTTCACAACCATTTGTAACCAACTGGTAGCCTTTCAGTAAATTTTATCCGGTTCAGATAATATAACCTGTAGTGTCCGCCATTATCCCCAAGTACCCTAAGAGCAGTAATAAAGCCAAAAACGAATCGAATGGAGGAGAATTGAGAGGCATATATTTCATTGTTTCTAACAAACTGTCAATGACCCTAGTTAAATAAAAAATTACAAAATTAAAATACGGATATTTCTTTCAATATAAGCATTTGCGCTTAGATTTTACTTACGAACTATGTTTTCTTTGTTTAAGTACGCTGAAAGCCTTTCTAGTTCTTGTTTGTAAATTTAAGCTCAAGGTTCAGCTTCTCTTGCTATAGTAATTACTTGTCGTTGGTTGATGATTGGGAGAGAATCACTTTTACATTTTATAATTCTTCTTGCTTGCTCGTTAGCGCAACCAAGTGAGGAACGTGGAGGGTGCTTTTCTCTTGTAAGCTCAATCTGTTCCTAATACTTTGTAGTTAAGTGGTATGGTGGATGATATTAATGCAGATATCCAGAAGATAACTGGTTTCAACAATTTGAAAGTTTTGCCTCGCATCAAAAACATTTTACAGAAGGATTTCTTCCACTACTTTGAGGTACTTAACTTTTCAATCATTACTATCTTGTGAAAACCTTCAAATGTCCTCATTAATACATGTATCCCTTTGTACTTAAAAGCACTATAAATAAATAGTGACTTATCGACAACAAAATTATAGGTTCTACTGTGACCTGATATTGTGCCTTGTTAATTCCCAGACACCTCAACCTATTTCTATTATCTTACGACAAGTTACGAGTTGACCTGTTACTGGCTTACCGTATACTGAATCATTAATGTGTCGTATGTTTTCCAGCCATTCACGAATGACCAAGGTAATTCGAAAACAGATCAAATCGTTCACGTTTGAGATTCCGTTTCTCGCATTGAATGGTGAATTACTGGATTTTTATATCAGAACACGTAATATCAACACCCTCTGTCAATACATTCAAGGTGTACTACAAATTGTAGGGATTAATATAAGTTGATTGATCCCCCATTCTTACCTCTGAAGACTGAAAGCAGCCTAGATCTTACAACTTAATGTCCCTTATTCGGTTGGTTTTATTTCTATTCCTGTACATTTGGCCTCCCACTGTCGCGAAATCCTTGCCTAACGCTTTTGCAGGGGACTGACAAATGACCCTCAAATCATGGTCCATTTAAAACCTTCATAAGGGTTAGTTGTTGGGTGAATACATCATACAAAATCTAGGCTAATGTAGCGAAAGCAAAAATGTGTATGATTTTTCAACTTTCTTGTAAAACATCTAAAGCAATTAGTTCCTTTGATAAATTTCGATAATGTAATAAGAAGACGAAGATTATCATTTAAAATGATTGTTTATGTCCTACAAGTACTTATCAATCTTGTTAGTGAAGTGCCAACTTTCATAAAGCCAAGAAAATATTTGTACTGTTACCCGACTAATTATTTGTATATGTGCTGTCAGCTCATGTCAGATTTAACACCCATTTCGTTCAGTTCCTTTTATTTAGTCAATCAGCATCACAGGTAATTTAGACGTCAACGTGCCTTACAGTAAGGCCTCCAAAGCAATTTCATTCAGATCCCACTCGAAATACGAGTATCATACAAGACTGTTTTATAGTCCTAAAATTCTGCAACTCTTCAAATACTTTAATTTTCATATCTCTTATCAACTGATTAATAAATTAATGAGTAAAATTTGGAAACTGCCGCTAAAACTTACAAAACGAATTAACTTCAGCGTTCCAAATATCAAGTCACTAAGTGTCCATTCAATTGCAAAATAATTTGATGTGGATTAGTATCATCAGTCCTAAAAGTATTGAACGCTTCTGAAATCGGTAGATCTATAGTCAAAGCAACCATTCTTCCTGTTACAAGTTCGGACCTTCCTCTGTTTACTTTGACTGTGTAAATTGGTTAGTATCACTAGCATTCCTTGCGATTCATGACTTCAACCCAGGTTCACAAGCTCGTTCTTGAGTGTTGAGTGGAAATAAATTATTTTAAAAAATACTAGTTGACTAAGTGTAGTGGTATAAACCACGTAAGTAATGTCAAATTTAATCTGCGTGTTGACATGGTAAATTTAATTTAGTAACTGTCTTTGGCAGAATGTTTTTCACATTCTAACTGTTCATATGTCAAGCACTGTCAGTGACTGAAAAACCAACAGAAGTGGTCATTTTGTGAGATGCGTTCAAACTTACAATTTAGTTAAATGCCTAATCTAGATTTTAATAATTAAACTACATAATTAAGATATTTGTGGCTGTTTTACTTTATCATTCTGAATAGCTATGAATTTGTATATATTTTATCTGTATGGATTGTTTTAGGTTAATTTGGAGCGTGGTTGCCCTTTTTTTGACGATGATAAACGATGCCCATCATCAGATTGTCGGGTTAAGGATTGTCCAGCTGAAGAAATACCTTTGGGGCTACGTGAAGATTCGTTGGAGTCGTCACCTCACCATAAAGTACGAACTACTTGTTTAATTTTACTTAGTAGTATTCAAAAGAGGCCAACATGTATCCAGAAGAAGGAATCGACTGTGGGTTAGGGAAGTTAGATAGTTCCTTAAGGTAAGTCGTTTTTGTCGTAGCTCTTGTTTTCAAAGTTCTCTAATGGCTTGTCACATATAATGAAGAGAGGAATTATTAACTTATGGATGTTCACAGAAAGTTTGGCCGTAGTTATCGAATAAGGATTAATTTGTCTGAAAGGAAGTGGTTCACGAATTGTTTCAGTAAGACATTTACCACAAGCATTATGATAATGATATAGAGAAAAGATTTGGGACAAGACATTTTCACTTTCAAGATAGAGTCATGAATGCCATAACTAAGTTTTTCTACACTTTGGATTTCACCAGTGAATGTTAGAGATACTGTAGTTTATATTTTGAAGGAAAAAGTTAAATTCAGTTTGAATTGCCGCTTCCATAAAGGATCAAGTTCAAGCTCGATGCACCTGAATCTTAAGATTTTAAGATACTCATTCCCAAAAATGCGAAGTGTAGATTGCCACTGGACAGATTTCAAACTAAGTTTATCCTTTATGCAAACACTACTCAGAATAAAAGTCCGGTACCCGATGTGTGACCGGATACATATTTTGTATATTAAAATACTTGAATCATAGTTATAAATGTTACATAGTATACAATTCTTCGAGACTTAGAAGTCTGTGTTGAGAATGACATTGTTGGAATACCTTAGTCCTACATCTGCGATTATGTAGAACCTAGGTAGCACCTTACTATTTATGGTGAGGTCATAGCTGAGCAAAGGTATATTATAATTAATAGTACTACATTTTTTTACTACTTGGATATTCATCCTAATAATCTTTGCTTACTGTACTAATATAGTGTAGCATCTTAAGATGATCCAGTTTTGTGCCAGATCCTACGTTGTTTATAACTGACTGACGATTATGTGTTTGATGTTGTTCAAGTATTCATTCATCTTATTTTTTAAATCATTAATCATGTTTCACAAATCCTCTGTACCAAATACTTTGAATCTTGGTCTATAACATATTGCCGAATGACTTGGATTATGTCTAAGATTTTTGATGAACAATTTTAATGTTAATTTTTTAACTGTAAACTTCAGACAAAATGTACGTTTAGTCATAGATTATTTTACTTGCCATCTCACAAACTAAAATTTTCATTTCAATATATTTTAGTGAAGAACGTAAAACCATAATTGCCAATTGGACTCGCCATGATGATGAAGATGAGTTGACGTTCTGTGAACCTGATGGTAAGTTAGATGATATTTTACGTCTACTTAAACGAAAAGAATATGTAGTTTGACGGTCGAGTTCTCCAATTTATGGGCTTGAATCCATGGGTTTAAGAACAAACTAAGAATAACAAGTATTTCACTTGACTTATCTAGTTTTTTTAATCAACAATTATATACTAGTCCAATATATTTCTATAATTACATAAGATAAATAATGCTATAGCAGTTCAATTATTGGGTAACTATGAATCTAGACCTTATTTAATCGTGCTCTTAAGATGTAGCGGATTATCCAAACGCTGATTATGAAATGTATTGTTCATCATTAGCGAAGAGTTTATTCATCAGTGTAAATATCTGTTGGTCATGTTACATTCATCGCACCTACTTATACCACTTTACTGTTGATCAGAAATTGTTTGTTGATATTAGCTGAAAATAATATATACACTACAGTTAAATCAGTTTATACTCATTTGTTCGTTATAGCAGAATATGTTTTGTGATTGAATAGTAGGATGCATGGTTTCTTTTTTTTGTGATCCTCTCAGATAAAGCGTTTGCCATATGGTTCATCTACGATTTAGTCTTTTTAAATTTAATCCACGGAAGTGGTGAACGTGTTTATAACCCATTAATCATGTAAACGGCTAACATATTGGGTCTTAAATCACTTTTTATTTAAAGGTAAACGTGACTACTCTAATGGTGAGAGTGATAAGAGATTAGGTCTCTTAGTTGCATGATTTTATGGTTGTTGCGGAGTAATATATACACAAATGTACACTTTTCTGTCTCCACTTCAGACGATAGCTCTGGCAAAATGATTTACGTGGATTTACTCAAGAATCCTGAACGTTATACTGGTTACAAAGGACCTGCCTCAAATAGAATATGGTATATGGTCTACAATGAAAACTGTTTCAAGTATGTTTTAATATTATAACATATTTTAACCTAAATTCTCACTTTAGTGAAGATTCAATTACTTATGGGACAAGTTACCTAGGTCCAAGTAAGTAAACTTGATTTTTGTGACTGTCATGTCATTTTCTCAATTTGTTCATTAAATTAATTTACTCAATTTCGATGTGAATCAGTATGTTCTTTTTTCGTTGCTAAACGATCTAAATCTACCCACCATGAGCTAATTGTTGCTTTTTAAAGAGCAGTTTGGTCAAAATTTATCTGTTTGCTAAGTTAGTGTAAGTTCTGAATCTCATTTGTGTATTGAGTGCTTGGATAAAATCAGACTTTAGTTCATGATTACGTGGTAAAAATGGGTTTGCTTGTTTATAGAAAACAAATAACTTTTAAAACTTAATTACATGTGGTTTCAGGAAGGAGACTTATTGGTTTGACTGAAAACGGTTGATCTCAAAAGTTGCAACGTATACTCTTCAACATAGAAATTATTTTCCCCACAATTCTAGTGTTTTTATATAAAATTAAACACAAATGGTGGTCTTTTCCTTACGATTCAGCAAGTTCATTACTTAGTAAAATAAACTCATTCTCTTAGCACCATTACGAGTTGTACAACGTCTTGACAAAATAGGCACCTATATAAACTATTTTAATATCACAATTTTAATCAAATACACGGAGTTCACCAAAAATCAATACTTCAGTCTTCAAAACATCTTATCGTTTGTCCTGAGTGGAGGATCGATTCATTATTATTTGATTGTCGTTTTCTGTCTACGAGCACTAGTGGCAACTGTTTGTTTTGCTGTTTATGTTTAATTGTTTTGCGGTTTCATGATATTTTGAATGCTAACAGTAAAGCGAAAACATTACCAGTTATCTCACTCTTTGTTACAGTTCTTGTCGTGTTTGTTATTTTTAGTGTAGCAGATATAAATTTATTTGTCGAACAACTTGACTTGGTAATATCCATATTTAGAATGTGAAAATATGTACTGATAGAGTTAATAAAAAATATTGATAGTATAGTGTAAAGGAAATCAATTATCTGGAAAGTAGTTTATGTTACCCACTACATTACATACGATTTAGTCGCACATATTTATTACAGACAACGAAGATCAAGGCATGCTATAATGTGATAATAAGACATAAAAATTTAGTGGTTAGAGTCAGTCGACAAGAAACCCTGGACCTAGGTTTCCCCACTCGTCAGTAAGATATATCTATGATCTTGAGGAAATTGGTGGCCCCTGGCGGATTCGATACTGTGCCACCCAAATTCACTGTCTGAGACTGCCACTGAGCAACCTGATCGACTAGCATTCGGAAGGACTTGATATACATGACACTGGTCACTACTCAGTGATCATTTTATTGTCAAATATAATATTTACAAAATTAACCTTGTATTATTTAGTTGGGGTTGATATTTGAGCAAACCATTTTTGAGCACTGATCACTGCCATTGGCTGAGTGAATGTCCGCTATTTTTCGAAGGTTTGTATATGCATTCAAAGGATTGTATACTGATATTAAATAACAGACAGACATAAACTATGTCAGATCTGGCACTGATTTCTATCGGGTGATCTCATTCTTCATAGGATTTCTTGTATTGTGAATAAAAATACACAATTGTAGGAGCCAAGTGATATACCTCATAGCCGATAGCAGTGTCGTAGACTCATCGATTATTCTCTAAGCCATCATCTCTATCATATTTTGACTATTTTTAAGGTGAACAACCTCATATTCATATCCATTGAGTTCGTTGAGTACATTTGATGTTATTAACCTATTTCTGTTCATGCTAGACTTGCTAATTTTGGATACAGGATTTATTTTAAGTGATTTAAATGAATTCACTTAGCTTTGTTAGTGTCAACTTAAACCAAGGATTGATGAATATTTATACAATTGATTTATCAATGTGTAGCAATCAATTTTTCATGCTTGTCCTGTTCAAGTTCTTTTAGTCATGTTACAGTACGATCACTGGTCTAAGTAATTCGACATCACGTACACCATTTTGAGATGTTAGATAGTTGTAAGTAACTAACAAAAGTATGTGTTCTGTTAACCCCTGATAAACAATATGGCTTGATATCACAGTTGACTAACAGTAAATATATGCTTGAACAAAGCACTATTCACCGTTCCTTCAATTCGATTGTACTTCTATTTCGGTAAATTCATGTGTTCTGATCATACAATCTTATATTTTTCTATTGGAAGTGATTAAATTATTTATTGTTCACTGTAATACGGAAGAATTTCCATTTTCACTGTATCATCTCATTAGCTATATCTGTTGATATTATTTTAAAAGCAAGTTTTGTATCACGTTTTGGGAAATAAATTAAGTGTTTAAAAAAAATCTATGAATTGCATTTCCTTTTTTTTCGATTGTCCTTTATGCATCTCTCTTTATAACAGTATCATAAGCATTTTTCCTTTAAGAAAATGTCTTTTCCATGTCAAGTATTTTGTATCCTATGTTTCATATGAAATATTTATCAAATGACATCCATATAAATTACTTTAACAATCCATTTATCCTAAGTTCTCACAATGATGACTACAACTACAACAACAAAAAGAGCAATCGAAATAGAGAAAATAAAAGTCAAACAAAAAAGTATAAAAGGCAAATATACTAAAACAATAACAACATTTAACAAGAAGTATGAAAACAAAGTAATTTCAAACTTAATAAATTGGCCAGTTTTTCTAAAGAAATCATGTATATTGTCCAGATTAATTGTTAAACTATTAGTTGATAATCTACAACAATTTGTTTCTTTTCATCTTAACAGTTTTATTGATCGACAATTTCAATCATACATAAGATGGATACTTTTAAGTTTAGAGTACCATATGGATTTATTATTAAATGTTATGTGCTAATTAATTATAATTTTGTGGTACTATTTCTCATCTCTTTATAATCATCAGTTTATTTTCTGGATTTTTCCTTTTCAACCTTAGCTTTTTTCTATATAAATAATAATTTTCATTTTATTGTGATTTTGCTCAACTTTTATGTTTTAGTATGTATAATAGTGTTACTGACATAAAAATAAGTTGGCATTAACGTGTCGTTATCTTATTGGTTGATTAATGTTTATTGATTTCATGATCTTGTTGACCGAAGAATTTTCAGTGCTTATATGTATATATTCGTTGAAGCTTATTAATTCTTTCTAAAATAGGTTTTTATTACTTTTCGTGATATACTTCATCATAAACAATGTTACCTGGCAAAAACTTTATGAAGAGGGGTGTATAGAATAGTTGGCTTAGTTACATGGAAGGTTTTCGTGCATATCCTTAACTACTTCTTGGATTGGAATTAATTCTTTCAGACCTTTAGATAAGCGTCAAGATTTTCAGAGATTTAGATTAATCCCTAGGATTTAGCGCATTTAGAATTCAGATACTTTAAATCATTTTGCTTATTTTTGGATGTTAACGACAAATTTTATTCATTCTTAGTTTGATGATATAATAATGAACTTACCATAAGCACAATAACCTCTAAAAGACTATTTGACTACATTATAGACATAACACAAGCATTATGAGACCGTAAACCATTTAAAATGTAGTTTCTATTCATCAGTTTCATTATAATATAAGCAATATGAAAGTCAAGTAACCTGACCTACATAAAAGTTCCGTGAAGATTGTATGACAATAGTACCAATTACTGTATTCAAATTAGTCTTATCTGTATCACCGCTATTACTGTTTCTGCAGCTTATATCATTTCATTCGTTTTTCTTCAATCGTTTAGATGATCAAAATGCTTTGGGTACTATATGTATTAGTGATGGTATATACATGTATATTATGTATTTATTGTAAACAAGTTTGTCAATGTACACGAATTTTATCCCTTGCATTATTCATTTAATTATTTATGGATTTTAATGGGAAAATAGTCGTGTTTTTGATTGATTAACAGATGTTAAACATTAAAATAACTTTCTAGTGTTTTGTTTTTGCCTTTTATTTCGTTATTCGTGTTTATTATATTTTTAAAATATCCTTTGTTTTTCGTTTGGTGTTTTCTCTTGTTTCGATTTTGGTGCTTTCTATACTTATTATACCTTCTTCTATTGGTTAGTTTTTGTTGAATGTTGTGTTTTTATGAGATAAATCACCTTTAAGACTTTATTCTTCATATAGCTACTTGTCGAAGCGCGATTAAATAAGTATCACTTCTGCCTCTACTTAATAAAAGTCTTAGCCTTGAGACGTTTCTCTTCACCTTATTCTACTTGTGATACTTTCCCATCACATAATTCAAACACCATCTCTTATTTTCTAAGATTATGTATATGTAAAGAAAATTATTTAAAATCTATATTATTGACGTTTGGTTTCGTCCTTACTTTTGAAGTGTTAATGAATTTTATATGAATACATACACGGTAAATTCAATACATACTCCAACTGAGCTGTTGGATCTGGAAAAACTCAATGAATTCATGAAGTATTGCGAGGTCTGTTTACGAGAATAATTCGCTAGACAAAACTCTTTTTAAGTTATTTAGTCGTTCCAACTAGTCACATAAAGGTTCCAAAGAAGCTACAATTTCCAGAATTATCGCTAACTTGTGTTGATGAAAATATTGAAAGTGTACAGTCTCTTGTATTTGTTGACCGCTGATAATTGCTGATTAACTGGATTCAGGAGAATCACTTCTAGATACGACTCTAAAAATAAAGCTAGTACTACTAATAATAATAGTAAAGACGTGAACAGCCTAATTTTTGGTGACTTTCAGGGGTATTTTGAACAATAAAATGGAAAACGAAACAAGTGTATAATCACAAATTGCTGATATTTTGAAGGGCATTCTCTGTTTCAAGCCTGCACCTTTTTCATTATCTCATGTATGCCACTTTCAACAAACACACTTTCTTATACACTACTATTTAATATAGGCAATATTTGTATTATGTTGAGTTGAATTACTAATGTTCAAGTTTTTTCGAACTTGTATCTAAATTGTAGATCATTCATAAAATTCAAACTCCTTGAGTTCCTCTTATTTCATATTAGTTTTGTGATTCAATGAATAATAGCAGTACTCTTAACGTCACCGAATGTTAAATTGTATCTTAATAACAGTATTGGACTTTCGATTTACATCCTTCTCATCCGATCTGCTCTTTTAATTTTCAGCAAGTAAATAATATTCTTACTCTCTGCTGGACCTAAGATTATTGACGTCGATTTTTGTATGAAGTTACAATTGCACACTATTAAATATTAAATAGTAGTACTGTTTAATTTTCAATTATTTTACAACTCTCAAAACTCTTACCCTTACGTATATCAATTATTTTAAGTATGTTTTAAGCAGAGATGGGTGGTGGCTAGCAGTTGAATCTAGGACGCGTGTGTCGTCCTAAAGATGCTTATAGTTTTGTTGTTACACATAGTTTAATGAAAAGGGTACAGCATACTAATTAATTGTGCAGCTATTTTAACTTTTCTCCATATATATTAGGTCAATCTTCATGCCTTGAAAAGCGTGCATTTTATCGAATGGTGTCTGGGCTGCATAGTAGTATCAGTGTTCATTTATCTTATCGATATCCGTTAAGTCGTAAGTCTTCATTTTTAGCAAACTTTTTTTATGTTTCATAAACATAATTTCACAGCGTCGAATGATATCGTTTTGTTCATCTCATAGAATAATAATGAATTTTTTTCAAACTGTTTACAACCTATTACAATTACTGCACTATCAATTTTTATTAGTATCTGGCAGATTCTTGAGAGCATCAGACAAATATTTATTTACAGAAAAACGAAATTCTCAATTATTTATTTTTAATCATAATCTAATCAAGGAGTGATGAACTGATAGCCAACATGCTCAGTTAGCAATCAGCGCTTTACAGGTTCAAACCCCACTTCATCTAACTCGGCTTATGTAACCACATAAAATCGCTATCCTTCTCTCAAACAACGGCATAAAAATCGAGTACACAGATGTTTATATCGTAAATACGTTGTATAAATTATCAATTAGTCAAGCGTTGAACCAGTGATCAAGGTGTTCAACTCTCAGTCATTAAGTCACAGGTTCAACCCCTGTCTCGCCTACATCTATTTCCATCAACTGGGTAGCATCGCTAGCCGCTATATTTAGAGTGCAACTCGAGGTTAAGCACATGAATCTGTACTAGGTAAATAAGTTAATAAGAAATGACTTCATCAAGTCTTTATGTAGATAAAAGACATTCACTTTACCTAGAATGTTCATCTTGTTTTTATTCTTTATCTTTAGTTTTTTCACGACATCAACCAATATCTCGTGATTATGATAGTAATAATCCAGGTTGGGGTCCAAATTTGGAGGAATTTCGTCGTCGTTTTGATCCATCTATTGTGCCAGATGGTTTAACTCGATTGCGTAATCTTTATTTCACTTATCTGGTGGAATTACGTGCTTTAGCTAAAGCTGCACCTTATTTGATGAAACAAACTTATTTCACAGGAGATGAGAAAATGGATAAGGAAACTAGATCTGTTGTTACAGATTTTCTACAAATAATTCAGTAAGCTTTATTTATTTGATTTCTTGGTAACTATTAGGTTATCATAATAAAATAAAATCTGTTTTGGATTCTGTCGAGTAATCGTAGTAACTAAGTTTTTTTTTGTATGAATAACCCATCATCAACCATTAAAATAACTTCGGTTTACGATTATACAATCTGTTAAGCGGTGAATTTATCCATAGTTTTAAGTAAAAGCCCTTCATGCTTTTCCTGTCAGCTATGAACTAACAGTCATGCAAATATTCATAGTTATAAGTCCTAAAACATTGAGAGTTTACTTATTTAATATAAGTTGTTCTATCTTACTTATAAGTGCTCTATAATTGAAATTATATGAACTGTAATCTTCGTCAAGACTATGAAACTCAATGACTCAACTAATTATCCTCTGAAAAAAGAGAGATAACGTTTCTTAATCAAGTGAACAATGATAGACTCGAATTCTTTACTCACTGTTCAATATTTAGCACCCACATATTGTCCATATTAAGATATAGTATCATTCCATGAAATCACTGACTTTTGCCTGGAGCCATGTAGGAAGATGCTAATGTGCGAATCAAAGTCTTTGAGGACTTAAACATGATAAAAGTGACATAAATTTGTTTATTATTTATTATCTCCATATGATTTTGAACTGTGTAGTTAGGTACAGACCACTTTGTTGGAATCTGCTTGATTATCCTAACTTATGGTTAGAGACATTAAGTGATAATTTATAGGACCGGTCACAATGGCACAGATGTATTCACTCTTTGTCCATAAAATACTTATAATTTTTATCTTAAAAATCTATTATTGAATCGTATAGTCCAATCTTTTCTACCACTGATAACGATACTACTTCTACTACGTCTTTCGTCTTGACAATTTAATTTCGTTGTGCTAACGTGGTGTGGCAACTGGGATCGATGTACATATATGCCACGTCCTACATTGTTTATAACATTGATATTTTTAAAAGTATTCTGAGTGATCAAATATAACATCTTAGTTCAACTTCAAATATTAATTTCACGACAGCGTTAATTTAATTCGACACTACGATACACGATAATCATCCACTTGACGGTCAACCTATTATTCTTATATGTAACTTTATATCCTGAAGTCTATAGAGATAGTAAAATACTTTTAATCGTTGTTTTCTCTTTCTCCAATCCCCTTCTTTTATTGTTTATAGTATTTTTTATATTCTTATTACGTTTTCTCCTCTTTGTCTTATTGAGATTTCTGAAAATTCACAGTGATACACGTATTTCGGTAATGATTCTATAGTTTCGTAAGTGTTTATCTATCAAGATTTCAGTATAATATGGTCTATCAAATAACACTTAAAATGAAATCTTCAGTATAAATGGAAGATATTATTGAAACATGAACAATAGTAGTATACTATCAGTTAACTTTATTTTCACAATTTTGAATCATGAATTGATCTGAAAGCACTGGACGAACGTTTTGTCTTAGTATGAAACTCCTCAGCAGCGCTTACCCACGAACCCGTGTCCGAGAATGGAACCCAGGGCCTGTAGACTACTGTTAGATACCAGTTTGCTGGTCTAAAGGTCAAGCGTTTCTGAGCAAAATGGAAGATCCTGGATTCGATATCCGGACACGGTTTCGTGGACACACACTGAAGAGGAGTCCCATACTAAGACTAAACAGCCATCTAGTGCTTCCAGGTTTTCAGTGGTGGTTTAGCCAAGATAAGTTCGTGATTTAAAACTATGACGATTCCACAATCTCCGCAAATCCCCTATACTGATATTTCTATTTTATCAATTAATCTTACACACCGTTCAATAACAAACAAATTTCGTCCTGTTGAAAGAATTAAAAAATATTTATAGACGAGTATGAATTGTCAAAAGGAAAAACAGAAGGATAAATGAAAAAAAAACTGGATACAACTGTACCAATGAGTAACTTCAAGTCGTTCCACATAATACTTGCATTTTGTTAATTTATGCACTGTTTCATTCAAAACAGTTAACTAGCATAATTAGTTAGCATGTTTTAAAGATGATCCTACTACACTGACAATTCTACCTATCCATTATATCTGATTTCAGTAAAAACATTTTTTTATTCCATGTCATCTTAGGATTAGGGAATCAAATGTGCATTATAGTTGTTTTTTCTCTAATAATCGACATATTCCTATAGCAGTTTTAAATCACCAATCCACTTTGTATTTTCATAACACCAGAAATGAAGGGAGTATTTTTAATGAACATCTTTTATTCGCTGGAGATATTAATGAAGCTAATGTGTTAAAAAAGCAATTTCGTGAACATTTTCGCAATATTTCACGTATAATGGATTGTATTGGTTGTGAGAAATGTAGATTATGGGGAAAATTACAAGTGAGTTACGTCACATTGATTTTCTCCAAAAAAGACATTCGATATATGTTATATTTTTTTCTACGTTTCTTTAATTTGAATTTAATACACGGCGATAATTGAAGAACACAAATTAGCAATCATTCAGAAAAAAGTGTACTAAAATTTTATTTGTTCATTGAGACATTTCAAGTAGTTGAGTGCACGTTCACACTAATCTAATTATAAATCACACACACATGAATTATTAGTCAATGGTAGCTCTGATCAAGTTATGCAGTTTAATTACCAAGTCGAATCATCCAATATAATAAATTACTTTGGTTAAGTATTGATTGATCATGTTCACTGAAACTAACTGTTGGAGTGGATCAGGAGTTTATAAAATGTCTATCCTTCTGCAAAAGATAAGTGAGTATGTACGTAGATTCTGTTACAGTCTTTTCATTACCCCAGGTTTGACGTTTTATGGTAATAAAAAAGTCTTCAGTATGTTGGTTATTTTCCCGAACTGAAACTGAAAACACCTAAATGATGACCGACGTGGTAAATCTCAGTAATTTTAAAAAAGAATCTGACCAATTTCATCCATCTATCTGAATAAATGACGAATCATCACTATTATCTTATACTAACTGTTTATATTTACTGAATGCAACCTTTATAGTGTTACACTATTTCAAATTAAGTTATTTTCAGACTGCAAACTCATCTGAAATCCGGCAGTAATTATTGATTTCAATCATTATATAAAGAATTTACCTAAAATATGTTTTTAGAGTTGTCTCGAACTGATTGAAGTTAAACATTGGATACCGACTAAGTGTTCTAAAGGCCAGGCGATCACACTGAAACCTGAAGGTCCCATGTTCAAACTCTCATGGGGTCATGGATACACACTACTAAGGAGTCCCATACCAGAACGGAACAAATCTCCAGTCCTACCTAGTTTACAGTGGCTATTTAACCAGAATCAATTCTTGATGTAAACTAATAAAGATGTCTGATTTTATTGGTATTTTACTTATCGTGCGATTAATTTTGAACTGTTTTCGATATGGTTTTACCATTCCTCTGAGTTTGATTTGTTCTTCTTGTTTTTTTTTCACCAAATGATGTAACAGTTTTTTTGAAAATTTTAACCAGTACACACGTTTTGTATTAACCGATGATGATACTCCCCGATTATGCTAAACCGTAAACTAAAACTATTGAATGCTTGCATTATTGCAACTCATTTACCAGGTATAGATTCGTATAGATAGCCTTGGGTCACTCTGAGTGTAGGGCTTAGTGATGCTCCCAGATTGGTCAAACTATAATTTTCCTTGACTACTTATTATTCCACTAAGCTAATAATTGACTTCAGCTTGGATTCATTCGCAGCATTAATTTTTTCCCTTTTTTCCTCTTTCCAAATTTCTTTCACTGGATTATACTCTTTAAATAACATCTCCAAGCCCTAATCTTCCCGATTACTGCTTATACTCTTATTACCTCTACCACTACGGGATTTGAATCGACAAGTGCATCTCTGTGCTAATGTGGTGTGGCAACTCGAACTGATGTACGTACGTACGAAGTTCTACGTTGTTACTGACTGACTGACTGACCTTGTTAGATTAAATTAATGGACTACCATAAGATATCTTGTTAACGTTTCATAATTACTCGTAGTTTAAAGGCTATGATATAAATTTACCGGTCCTGTTTTTGCAAATGTCAGTCAATACAACAAATACTTTCTACTTGTTGCTGAATTATCACTATTATTAAGCGAAAGGTTTTGGGTTGAAGATCTAGTGGGAACATTGAAACTGGAATTGTTAGGAAGACCCAGAAGATTCCTCGAAAATAGCTTAAAGAGGCCCTGAAAACTCGGAAAAGCATTTTATTCAATCAACACTGGATAGAAGTTTCTCAAGAACATCTAGAAAGTGGTGAGTCACGTCAGATTTCTTATCGGACGATTGCCTGTCCTACTACTATGTTTAGGAGGGTTCCAGAACTTTCCAGGAGCCCAGGGCCATCTGAAATACTGTAAATACCCTCAAATTTCTGTACATAAACTAACCTTGGAGTAAAGCGTTTCTTTCCCTCTTTCGCGCCTTTTCTCTCGTGTTCAACTTGCTGTGTAGATTTAGCCTGGGGGTTACTAGAAGAGCTCAGAAAATCGAATCAAGCATTCAGTCAGAAGGTTTATCAGTAATGCAGGTACATCCAGCTGAAAGTCCCGAAAAGGGTGAAACGTACTTCCGTGATTGCACTGCTAGCCATAAATTCATTTATTCTGTATCGACTTGTAAATTGTGGCTGTATCGGGGCCATCCGTGCAGGCTTCACATATGCCATGAAAGACTGGACAGAATTCAGTCAAAATTATAAATAACGGATAATTATTATCTTTTCGAATAATGTTTGGTTACTTGATTTCTTGTATATGCTATCGTTAAATTACTCTAATCATTCATTTCAAAGGTAGTCGAGTTTCAGTGAATGATTTTGTGACAGTGTAGTTTTCACCGTTTTTTTAATTCTACATAAAATTCATTTCCAGACACAAGGTATGGGTACTGCTTTGAAAATTTTGTTTTCTGATACTGTTCGTAAAGAGAATCCTTTAGATCAATCATCTACTGCCGAACCTAATTTCCAACTGCGAAGAACTGAGATAATTTCCTTATTTAATGCATTTGGTCGGTAAGCGTAACTACATTTAATGTGATAAGTTGATAATTTACACCCTATTTAATTACTTTTCACTGATTTTCACATATAAGTTAGAAGCTTCTTAAATATTTTCATACAATTTGAGTCAAACTCATTATTCTATTTCATAATGCTTCTCATCAGCTGAGCACAAATGGTAATATAAACGAACTTTTTATAAAGTTAAATTAAAAGAATTGAAACTGATGCTGGAGATGGGACAACAAAAATCTTAAGAACAAGAAGACAGAAATATTGGGCGAGACTATGATTTATGGACGAACCAATCACGTATAAAATAATAGGTTTCGAATTTTGGCGCGAAATTCACTCATTCATTCAGATAAATAGAGTTTTGGCATTATAGCTGATGTCAGTTCGGGATGAAAAACCTAAATCTAATTTCTATCTCTAATCATCAACTGTAAATCACAATTCTATTTCCTCACACAGGTTTATAACCCTCATTTGGTCCCGGCTATTAGGTGGACACTCTCAAGGTTAGTCTGGCGTCGCTCAAAGGTCATTCATAAATTATAGTCTCACCAAATATTTTTTTAAACATCATAGTTGAGATTGCTGAATATTTCTGTTAAAAATGAAGTTATATAAAGAAGGAGTTGAGGTTGTTAATAATACTTATAATTGAATGATAAAATGAAAGAAAAATAATTGATTATATAATCATTTCTCATCACTGAAATAAAATCTATGTGATGAATGAAATTCGATATAATCACCTCCGTACTTTTGATGCACTGAAACTCTTCACTCTATCCTACATTTGTTACAACTGAATTATTAATAGGATTATGCCTCACAAATTTATCGAGGATAGTTATACTGTGTTGTTTTTTCTCTCATCTCCTCCCTCTAGTCTATCTACAAGTATCGGTGCATTAGATGATTTTTGTGAAATGATTCATGAGTCGCAAAAACAGAAACGGCATACCGCATCAGGATAAATTGATGACACAGTATGTTCGCGATTTTCAACTTACCTTCATTCTTTACTGCTGTACTATCGCTGTTGCTGTCAAAGCTACAAATATCATCATATATGCACTATTGTTTATCATTCGTGGTCTTTCAAATTCGCATTATTACAGTCTGTTAGCACTGCCATAGAAAACTGATACATAACCGTTACGTTATGTATGCACATGTTGTAAGCAAATTTTGTCGTCATAACCTACACTGTTGTGTTATTGTAAATTATTGTATACATTTATGTTGTTTTCAATGTGCATCGATGTGGTCTCTTCCTGCTAGTTATTTTATCTTCTATTATATCGTAAACAAACCTAAAGAATGGTTTAAGTATACGTTAATGGGTTTCTTTACTCATCGAAAAGCTACCTACTAATTACTCTTTTCCTATGATTTTGACTGAAAATAAGTTGGACAAATCTTAATGGTAGTGTTCTTGTCAATTTATTATTAACCGTTCCCGCTTAGCTCGAATATTCACCCCTTGTTTTTCTTGTTTGTTTTTCATCATTATATTGTTTTATCTTTTTTGTTCAGCCTTTTATAGATAATTCATCACTTCACTCATAAATACAATTTTTCTTTTCCCACCCATCCCTAATCCAACATGTGTTGATTGATTTTTTTTACCTGTAACATTCTCGCTTTGTAAACCGCACATAATTTCCTGGATAAATAAATTTTTCATATACGAAAAGTTTCACTTTTTATTGTACTTCTCTTAGACACGTATAAAAAATTAAGATGAGTCAGTTTTTCATTATTAGTGTTCTAAATGTACGATCACGAATGAAGGTCCCAGAAAAAGGATAATTTTGCAGTCGATATTTGTATGGATAGTTCGCATTTATATATAAAATATTTAGACAAAGCAGTTATTAGGTGATGACATTTGTATTAATATCAGTCCTCTACAGTAGGTCAGTTGCTTTCAGATTGTCTGAAATGCAGTTCCTCTGTCTGGTACAATGATTTAAATCCCCTCAAAGAAAATCTGCCTTCTTAACGAAAAGTCTTGATACATCTTTCGGACGAGTTTTATTAAGTACGAAACACAGGTTCAGGGCTTTCTGCAGATAATTCTCAAACAAAGTTCACAGCCATGTTCAGATCGATGACTATCAGTCATGCTCATCGCAGAACCCGGCACAATGTGCATCGGTTCAAGTTGCTACACGGAATTAGCACACCGATATAAAATTATTAGGACTAACATCAGTGTAATAAAAGTAAAAACAACTAGGTATAGACGATATGGTTCGAGAGAAAAAAATGAACAAAAAATGTAAAAGATGATTTTGAAACCCAAGCTCTGGGGCTAGGAAAACTTTGAATACATTTGCTACAGCGACTAATTCTGAGTCATGTCAGTCACACCGTCAGACATTAGTTTAAATATTCGTGCTAGCTAGTCTGAACTTACCAACACGGCTAAGGCCAACCTATCTAGTCAATTCATGAACTGAAACCAGATTTAGTTTTGCCTCCATTACCACTCGACTGCACTCCGTATCATTATTTTAGGCGTTCACGTAGATCAGTTGTGAAGCAACATTTCTAACTGAACGTAGTTTATGCTCTCATTTATTTCGGATATAATCTCAATAATACGACAAGATTGAATATCTGTCTCTTTGATAAGTCTGTAAAGTTCCCTATAGCTCCTGTCTTTTCCATCTCATTTTCTTTCGCTACCCACCATTGCTCACGATTATCGCATAGGTTTTTTATCAGTTCAGTGTTTAAGATGTTTTCGTTCCTCATCTTGTTCAAAGCCTGATAGGATGATTTTCCGATCATCTATCAGTTTGTTAGATGCCAACAAATTCCTTTCATGTTACTTAATCATTTGGTTTAGTTCACTAGTAGATCTCAGCTGCTTGGATATCATTCCAACCTACATCCATGTCGATATCGTTCTTATGACTGACTAAATGCTTCTCTAGTTGTCCCTGAAATATACTCTTGACTTTTTCATCTTTAAGCTGAACTCTACTAGTTTTCCTTCTGTGACTCTGAGTAGAACCACCATTATCTGTTCGTTAAGCTACAACATCGTAACCCCCACTTAGTACCTGTCAGTTTAGTTTGGACTACCTACCTAGAAATTAGAATCCCTGACTATGATTAATGCATTTAAGTGCTTAACTCATTGAAGGAGACCAGAAATCTCTTTTTACAAATCATCTTTTACCTCATGCGAACTTCAGTCACTGAGAGCATAGACAGTTGACGGTGTGTGTCCTCATCTTTCATAGTTCTTTCTGCTTCGTGTATTTGGACATTACACAAGGAATCCACTTTAGGGGAACCTATTCTACTTTTGTACTTAATACTATGCCTACGCCAGCAAGGCCACAAGAAGTAGCAGCCAGACCTCTAGATGTACAGAGAGTAAATCGTGTATGTTCTTAGTAGTGACCAGGTGACATCAAGTTAATAACCACACTCCAACCCTATATGGGTGTTTTGAAGACGCAGTATATGTGATTGACACAAGTACTGGTTAAGAAAGCCAACTCGATTTGATATAAGATTGGAACATTTAAAAAAACTAGCATATAGTTTAGGGCACGGTTTTAAAAGATCAAGAATAACATTTGGTGATATCAAATAATTAACTTTGGTGGCTCATGAGTAGAAAGTTGGAATCGTAGGAGAAAAGTTAATAGTGAGAATTGAAGGGATATTGAGAAAAGACAGAGGGGCTTGACAATGAACAGAGTGATCTCAAATGCTCGTGGAAATACGAGGGCGGTTGTTACTTGTCAGTTGCTTTGACAATAGAAAGACAATTCTCCTCGAGATATCTGAAAAGATAATTTGAACAGCAGTGATCTTAGAGACCTGGGATCAAACCTCAAGCAACAGCTTCTTGAGGCTGATCACTTTCGAGCTTTTATTGGACGGTTTTTGATGTGATAGCTCCATTTTTATAGTGCCTCATCACCATCAGAAACTATTTTTAAACCCTTCTCTAACTGACCTACCTGATATGGTAACACTAAAAAGAAACCTGTATTCCAGCTAATATATCTCGAATGGGTGATCAAGATGTGCAAGACGGACCACCACATCAAGATAACAGTTATAATCTGGTCGGTAAAACATCAATAAAAATAGACTATTAATATAGGCGAATGGGAACTGGGAGGATCAATAAAATAGCTACGCAAATGAGGAGATACAACATGGTGGTCGTCGGAATCAGGGAAACCCATTAGACTTAAGTTGGATAGAAAAGGAGAAATTTGCGAGAGATGATGTACCCTGGTTGTGAATAAGAAAATGCTCCGCACACGCAGAGTTGTTCTGATGTTTTCTAAAGAAGCATGAAAGTATTTATATAATGGGAATCTCATGGATCCAAAATAATCAAACCTTCTTTGAGAACAAAGAAGGAGATCACAATGAATGTTATGTTACTACCAATCATGGCAATAAAGACAAGTTTTACGACAGGCTGCAATCGATCGTAGAGAATTGTCCAGGAAAGGACCTGACCATTCTAAAGAGAAACTAAAACACCAAAGTCGGAATGGGAACGTCGGGTATGAAGATATCATGAGACAACATGAACTGACTGAGAGAAAGGAATGAGAATGAAGAGGGATTTTAAAATGTATGTGTCTTCAACAAAACGGTTGAAGGTGACACAGTATTCCCACACAGATTCATACACAAAGTTACATGGGTCTCACTAAATCACACTACAGAGAATCAGATCGATCATATTTGCATCACTAAAACATCCAGAAGATAAATGGAAGAACCAGGAGAAAAGCTGACATACCTTCAAATCACCACCACCTGGTTGCGACCAATTAGGAACTGAAGCTAAAGAAACACTGGACAACTGGAGACTCAGCATTAAACAAATTCTGTATAGCCTTTCTTCCATATACTGACAAACTCAACGAATTCAAGATAGCTCTCAGAAATGGGTTTCAAGCCTTACATGATCCACTAAAAGAAGAGGGAACTACTATGGAGAACAACCGCAAGAGGATCAGAGAAGCACTAACTTCAACGTGTTAGGAGATTCTAAGCCGTAAGAAGCATCATCATAAGTAATGCATCTCGGTCGAAACCATTACCAAGACTTAAGAGGGGAAGAAGACAGCACTTAACAGCAGTCGAACAAGCAGAGGAAACCATGTCACAGACCGAGTACACAGAAATAAACAAGAGGGTGTAGAGGAGCATTACGGCCAACAAGCAGAAATACGTAGAACACTTAGCAATGACAGTGTGAAAAGCTGCAAGTGAAATAAATATCAAACAACTATATGACACAAGGAAGAAACTAACATGGAAATATCATAAAACAGGGCGATCAATCAGGGACAATGAATGCAAGCCAATCACTGAGATTCAAGAACAGAGGTAGAACACTTTGAGGGACTGTCGAATAGATCAGCTTCACTGAACTCACCGGACATCGAAGTAGCACACACAAACCTCGCCATAGCTGTCACTTCAACAATCGAAGAAATCAGCATGACCACCAGAAAATCAAGAATGGGAAAGTAGCAGGACCTGACAATATACCAGTTTAAGCACTGAAGTCATACACAGAACTAAAAAAATATTGCACGTTGCAATCAGGTAAGTTTGGGAGGAGGAACAAGTGCCAACGGACTGGTAACAAGGATATCTCATCAAAATACCAACGAAAGGAAATGTGAGCAAGTGTGAGAACCATCGAGGCATCACGCTACTATCATTACTAAGAAATGTTTTCAGAGTGTTGTTGAACCGAATGAATGATTCAGTAGACGCCCAACATCGATATCAGCAGGCTGGATTCCATCGTATTGACCGTGTACCGACTAAATCGTGACACTATGGGTCATTGTCGAACAATTATTTGAGTGGAACTCGTCACTATACAGCATGTAGAACACTGGCCCTATCACACTGGAAGGTGTTGAAATCTTCACGTACCTGGACATCATCAGATGCAAATGTAAATGCAAGGATTGGTAAAGTAAGGACAGCATTTCTACGATTGAATAACATATGGAACGCAAAACGACTGAATACATGCCAATATCGAATTCAGAATTTCCAATACGAACGTCGAGAGAGTTCTACTGTACGGAGTTGAAACTTTGAAAACTACTACAACCATCATCAAGAAGCACAACTATTCATACACATTTGTCTACACAAGATACTCAATGTCCGTTGACCGAATACCACCAGCAACAATCCACTGTGGCAGAGAACAAACCAGCTTCCAGTTGAAGAGGAAATCAGGAAAAGACGATAGAGGTGGATAGGACACGCATTGTGAAAATCACTAAACTGTATCATTTAGCAATTGCTAACTTGGAATCGTGAAGGGAAACGGTAAAGAGAAAGATCAAAGAACACACTGAGTCAGGAATTGAAGGCAGATATCGAAAAAATGAATAGCAACTGGAAAGGATTGTTCGGAAGTGGGTTAGATGGAGAATTCTGGTGAGTGGATTATTCTTTCACCCTTTCTCTTTCTCCTGGTGATCGACTGGACCATGAAGACATCAACATCTGAAGGGAAGCACGGGATACAATGGACATCTGGCTCTTCTATCCCAAACGCAACAACAAATGCAGGAGAAGACGACGAAGGGAAAAGCAAGATTCTCCGATACAACACAACATGCAACAATCGAATCACAATTGACGGAGAAGATTTGGAAGATGTAAAAACCTTTACGTATTTGGGCAGCATCATTGATGAACAGGGTGGATCTAATGCAGATGTGAAGGCGCGGATCGGCAGAGCAAGAGCAGCATATTTACGACTGAAGAACATCTGGAACTCAAAGCAACTGTCAACCAACACCAAGGTCAGGATTTTTAATACAAATGTCGAGACAGTTCTACTATATGGGGCAGAAACCTGGAGAAAATCGAAAGCCATCATCCAGAAAATACAGGTGTTTATTAACAGTTGTCTACGCAAAATACTTCAGATCCGTTGGCCGGAAACTATTAGCAACAACGTACTGTGGGAGAGAACAAACCAGATCCCAGCGGAGGAAGAAATCAGGAATTAGCGCTGGAAGTGGATAGGACACGCATTGAGGAAAGCACCCAACTGTGTCACGAGACAAGCTCCCACTTTGAATCCTCAAGGCTGTAGGGGAAGAGGAAGACCAAAGAATACATTACGCCGGGAAATGGAAATAGACATGAGAAAGATAAACAAGAATTGGATGGAACTAGAAAAGAAGGCCCAGGACAGAATGGGCTGGAGAATGCTGGTCAGCGGCCTATGCTCCATTGGGAGTAACAGGCGTAAGTAAGTAAGTAAATAAGAATAAATTGATCACATACAATTATGAGAAATGTTAGCCCATGAATTCGTAATTAGATCATCTATGTTAACCTTCAAATCTAAATCGATTGCTTTGTTGGCAGCAATTTGATATTTATAATTTTCTAGGAATTCAGAGACTCTTCTTACAATTAAAAAAAAAGAAACTAGAATACAGATTATCTGAAAATTGTTTGTTTTGTTAAATTATTACACCCGAAATATTTTGAAAATTGATATTTAGTCTTTAAAATTCATTGGTAAATTATCGTGAATCGGCGAACACATTCAGTATATTTTGAACTATTATAATTAGAAAAATGTCCTATTTCCTAAACGTTTAAAAATAATTCTTGTTCTCTGATTGTAAAAGGTTTCTACACAACCATATAAATAAAAAAAGAACATAGTACTCATTGGTGATCATCTTCTAGATGAATATTCCTGAAGTTCCAACTAGAAATAGTAACTGAAGTTGTTAACTAATTAACAATTAAGATAGTCATTAGTCGATCAATTTGGATGAGAATCGTGCTATGTCACAAATTTACTTGGATTTAAAGAAAAAAACAATGAGTTAATATATTCCTTCTTAATGCTTTAATGGTAACCAATTCATACTGAGGTCATCATATAATTCTAAGTTTAGTCTCGTGTTGATTGTGGGTGAAAACCATTGAGAAAAGTTAAGCTTAGATGAAATCACTATTCAATGCTCCCTGGATTTTAATGTTTATCCAACTAAAATTATTTTATAATAATAATAATAATAAATTTACTTTTAAATTTTACGAAATCTCAGCGAAAAACTTAACGGTTATTTCATCTGAATTATAATCGATGAGAAACTTCATATTTTGTATCACCACAATTGTTATTGAATAAGTTAAATTAATTAACTGAAATAAACATTTAATATTTATTATCAACTTGTTAACAAAAATCAATATGTTCATTTTATTTAAAGTGCACTGATATAAAATAAAATGTAAATCAATTAAATATTTTATAATTAAAGGTTTATATTGTTTTAACAACCAATAAATGGAAAAGTGTTTTTTTGGGGGGGAGGGGTCGGTTACTAAGTAAACTTACTGAATTTTATGCTTAGTAATATCAATTACTGAAATTTTGATAGAAATGGACTAGAGTTTAAAATGTTTATAGAAATAAAGTTGGAATGTAATTAATTAAGTTATGCAGTAATAGCTTAATAGATCATAAATTTCATGATTGTAATGCTAATTTCTTATAAGTGATATAAAATGACGAATTGAATGTTGAAAATAATTATTCTATTATAACAATTATCTTACAGAACTGGTGATGTTTGTTACGTAACAAAACTTATGTGAAAAATTATTCATATACACTTGATATTGTTTTTACTTGAATCTTCCCATTGATGTTTTAGGATTGAAATTGATCAGTCTCCTTATTGGCATATGTGCATACTGTGCGTATGCCTCGATATTGCCTTAATTTACAAGCATTATAAGCAAAGATGGATAGTGGCTAGCAGTGGAATCCAGGACGCGCGTTTCGTCCTGTTTGGGACTCGTCAGCTGGATGTACCTGTATCAATTTCAGTCCTAAAACATCAATGGGAAGATTCAAGTAAAAACAATATCAAGTGAATTAAACTTCAACCCATTGCACAAGCAAGTGGCTATCAGGACTCAGTAGCTAGGTGGATAACGCGATGGCTTTTGAAGCGAACGGTACTGAGTTCGAGTCCCGGAGTGAACGTCAACCCAGATGCAGTACATCCAGCTGACGAGTCCCAAACAGGACGAAACGCGCGTCGTGGACTTTACTGCTAGCCACTATCCATCTTTGCTTATAATTATATTTATATCGAAATATAAAATGACATGTGTGAAGAAAATTAAAAGGTGAAATTAACTACAAACTTTCGTAACGAAACTCGAAAATTACTTTAATTTATTCGTAAGTATTTGTTACCTATTCAGACTAAACGATGACTTCTTCAATCAAAGATCAGTTTGAGAAGTTGAAGTATTTGTGATATAAACCATATGAAATTTTAGATAAGACTAAAAAATAATTTTTGTGCACTATAATTTTATCAGAAGGGGTTTGTGGAGATTTTAGACATTTTCACAGATTGAAATCATGAGTCAGTTGAAGCTAGACCACTATTGAAAACCTGGAAGCACTGGACGGCCGTTTTTTCCTAGTATGGGACTCCTCAGCAGTACGCATCCACGGTCCCGCACCCCGCGGGAATCGAACCCAGGACCTACTGGCTTCGCGCGCGAGCACTTAACCATTAGACCACTGAGTCAGCATCCAATTATAATTTTAGCAAAGGTAAGCAGCAGTACATCACAATTAAGTTGATGCAAAATATTTAAAAACAACCAAGAACACTAACTTGAACACGATGTAGTCGGCCCTTATATTCGGAAATTCTTCACAGACGTTCAGTTGCATTGTCTAATATATATATCGATTGATATAACACTATCGTGCATTGAGTCAGTCGTAGGTTTTTTAGCATAGTCAAGGCGTCTGTTAATTTAAGATAATAATTGTGCATAAAATATTAGTAATAATTAAAGGTACTCAATAAAATAAGCAATTTCATAAAGAACACATAAAAATATACAAGAAAACTACTACTACTAGTAGTAGTACTAGAATTACTGCTATCTTCATAAAACTATTGAATGTTTAAACATTTGTATAACGGGTATTCCCTTGTTTATGTTTTCATCAAAGAAATTCATTTGAGAAACAAAAACTTCATATTTGTTTTATCGTTTTTACTCTCTAATTTGTGGTGTCTATGTGTATTTCACTTTTATTTAAACTAATTAATTTAATGTACCAAAACATTTCAAAACAGGCTGAAACCAATACGAATAATGAATGAAAACATTAAACATTGAACCGTTTTTTCAAATTTTCTGTCCTATTTCGAAAAAATATTGTTTTAATAAGTTCAAGTTTGTTTTCTTTTAGAAAAAACACAAGTTTCCACCATCATCACCCTTATGATTAGTAATGATTAATTTGTAATTTTTGTTGAAAATGTGTGTGTGTAAGCATATTAGTATCGCTGGTGAAACCGTCAACCTGTAGTAGAAAAATTAAATTGTAGAATAGCTAATATGACTGTTCGATTGAGTACAATTATTATTATTATTATTATTATTATTATTATTATTATTATTATTAGTAGTAGTAGTAGTAGTAGTAGTAGTAGTAGTAGTAGTAGTAGTAGTAGTAGTAGTAGTAGTAGTAGTAATAGTAGTAGTAGTAAACCAGTGGTGCAAATAATAAATAACAACACTGTCACAAGACATTAATTTAGGCAATGGGTAAGTTAAGTAATGTTTGACTTCAGAGTCTTTTCATACTTAAATTTAAATGTTCATAATAACAGGTATATTACATATTTGTGGGAATCAGACTGCAACTAATCTAGTTTTGACAATTTGCTTTTGTTCACATGTTTTTTTGTTTAATAGCTTCATTGAAACTTTATGTCAACTGCTATGCGATTGGCAACATGCTGCATTGTTAATTTTAACTGAAACATGTACTCAATTAGTGACACAATTTAAAGAATATGTCAAATCACTATTGGGTGGTCTAAGCATATTTCAATTGAGGTGGTCGTTCAATTTTTCCATATTTCACTAATAAGTATTATATGACAGTATGTAGGTGGACAAACTTAAGCACTTAAACATTATTTCTTGGTACATTCGATCAACGACAAAACAATTTATTCTTAAACTCCTTATAAAACCATGGCAACATTGTCTTATCAACAACATTTGAGTGCGAATTTACACGATTATACGGAACATATAACCCACATATTTGAATACAACAAAGTCAATCTAAACAGAAACCATTTTTTTTAAAAATAGCGTCTTAACGATCTTAACATTCTACAATTGCAAACCGAATTAAGGGTTCACTCTAAAATGTCTTTTATTCATAATGACTTGTAACATTCTAATAGCTCATTAAAATATACTAAAAACGTCTTGACCAGAATGTGTAGAACAGAATAAATGATAGACCTTTTAGTGGAATTCATGAATAGTGAATAATATTAATCTTAACAAATTCAATTCATACTTTAACCTTAACTAATCCGTAAAAGTGTATGAATCACGATTTTGATTAAATGAGTGTTTAAGATTGTCCACATTGAATTTCAGATTAACTGGGCTGGGCAACACTCAATGATATAAGGACATTCAACGTGAGATAATAGAAATTCATCTATTATGTACCTGTTAAATACTACATAACTCCGCCTGCAGCTCTTCCAGAGTTACTGCCCGTCCCAAGCCTGAATAAAGGAGGAGGGTTGGGCATGCGGTTAGCGTCCTCATCCCGTAGAACACTAACTCGCTAAAAAAACGCTAACCAGTAAAAATAATTCAACCCATTTCAACTCTGCCGTGGGAGTTAGAAGGTCCTCATTTGGAAAAACTATGACGCCTCATGGTGAAAGTGGACAAACAGCACTACAAAGGTTCAATACAACCTTCCTTCGAGATACTGACAAACTCAGTGAATTCAAGATAGCTCTCAACAACAGGTTCCAAGCCTTACAGGATGTACTAAGAGAAGAAGAAACTACTATGGAGGACAACTGGAAAGGTATCAACTTCAACGTGTCAAAAGGTTCTGGGCCTAAAAAAGCACCATCATAAGGAGTGGACCTCTATAGAAACACTGGACAAGATTAGAGAAGGGAAGAACAAGAAGACAGCAATTAACAACAGAGAAAGTCCAAGCACAAGCTGAATACATAGAAGCAAACAAGCAAGTGAGGAAAAGCATTAGAGCCGACAAAAAGAAATGCGTGGAAGAACTAGCAACGACGGCGGAAAAAGCTGCAAGGGAAGGAAATATGAAACAACTTTACGATACAACAAAGAAACTAACAGGGAAATACAGTAAACCAGAGAGACCGGTCAAAAACAAAGAAGGCAGGTCAATCACTGAAATTCAACAACAGCGGAACAGATGGGTAGAATACTTCGAGAAACTCCTGAATAGGCCGGCTCCAATGAATCCACCGGATATCGAAGCAATGCACACAGATCTTCCTATAGATGTCAATCCACCAATGACGGAAGAAATCAGAATGGCCATCAGACAAATCAAGAACGGGAAAGCAGCTGGACCCGACAACATACCAGCTGAAGCACTGATATCAGACGTCGAAGTAACCACAAGCATGCTTTACCCTCTATTCAAAAAGATTTGGGAGGAGGAACAAGTGCTAATGTACTGGAAAGAAGGGCACCTCATCAAGATTCCAAAGAAAGGAGATCTGAACAAATGTGAAAACTACAGAGGAGTCACACTACTGTCAATACCAGGGAAAGTTTTCAACAAAGTTTTGCTGAACCGGATGGAAGATGCAGCAGACGCCTAACTTCAAGATCAACAAGCTGGATTCCGTAAGGATCGGTCGTGCACAGACCAGATTGCGACACTACGGATCATCTTCGAACAATCAGTTGAGTGGAACTCGTCACTGCACATCAACTTGATTGATTATGAAAAGGCATTTGACAGTGTGGATAGGAAAATTCTTCGACACTACGGAGTTCCTGAAAAGATTGTCAATATTATCCGGAACTCATATGACGGACTACAGTGCAAGCTCATGCATGGAGGACAGCTGACAGATGTATTCCAAGTAAGGACCGGAGTCAAACACGGCTGTCTACTCTCTTCCTTCTTCTTTCTTCTGGTGGTCGACTGGATTATGAAGACCTCGACATCTGAAGGAAAACACGGAATACAATGGACAGCTCAGAACCAATTAGACGATTTGGACTTCGCAGATGACCTGGCCTTCCTATCGCATACACACGAACAGATGCAAACAAAGACAGCCAGTGTAACAGCAGTCTCTGCATCAGTATGCCTCAGAATACACAAAGGGAAAACCAAGGTCCTCCAATTCAAAGCGGAGAACAGCAATTCAATCACTCTTGATGGCGAAACTCTGGAAGATGTAGAATCCTTCACATATCTGGGAAGCATCATCGATGGACAAGGAGGTTCAGATGAAGACGTAAAGGCGAGGATTGACAAAGCAAGGATAGCATTTCTACAATTGAAGAACATATGGAACTCAAAACAACTTTCAACCAATATCAAAGTGAGAATCTTCAATACGAATGTCAAGGCAGTTCTACTGTATGGAGCTGAAACTTGGAGAACTACAACAACCACCTCATCAAGAGGGTACAAGTATTTATAAATAGCTGTCTTCGCAAGATACTCAACATCTATTGGGCGGATACCATCCGCAACAGCCTTTTGTGGGAGAGAACAAATCAGCCTCCAGCTGAAGAGGTAATTAGGAAAGGACGATGGAAATGGATAGGACATACATTACGCAAATCATCAAACTGCATCACGAAGCAAGCCCTAACTTAGAATCCTGAAGGAAGGCGGAAAAGTTGAGGGCCAAAGAACATATTACGTCGGGAAATCGAAGCAGATATGAGAAGGATGAATGACAACTGGAAAGAGCTGGAAAGGATTGCCCAGGACAGGGTTGGATGGAGAATGCTGGTGAGCGGCTTATGCTCCTTCACGAGGAGTAACAGGCGTAAGTAAGTAAAGTAAAGTAAATACTACATAGTAATGAGAACCAAATATTCTCTATTATGAGTTTCAAAAAAACAAGGATATTCATTGTAATGATACCGCCTCCAGACTTCTAGTATAACTGCTGGTCACAACCCACGCAAAGCAGAATGTTTGAGTATATGGTTTGCAACACTAACTCGTATAAATGAACCTTACTAAGGAAATGCTTACCAAACTAAACCAATTAATCCGTTTAAAATCAACCCTGGGAGTTAAAGGGTCTTCATTTAGAAAGGCTACTAAGCTTCATAATGAAAACTATGATTCCTCAAAAATCACTAGGTCGATACTTTTCTTGATAACCAGAGCAATAAATAACATAGGTTCATGGAGAATGTCTTGACACTGTGGGGGACCTAGTAAAGCACTCAGGTAGCAAAAAAATGAGAAGATTCAACCCGGCGGTGCTTGAAATAAGTGAAACCCATTGGACACAGCTTGAATATCTGGTAACGAAGAACAAAATACCTCACATATACGGGGAATTGGTCTCATGCTTTCAAAAGAAACACAAAAACCCCTATAGGATATGAGCTCCATTGATCCAGGATCATCAAAGCATGTTTTAAAATAAATAAGGAAGGAATCATACTGAATATCATCTAGTGCTACGCACTGATCAAAAGATGATAACGATCATTTTTATAAGGGCTGCAATCCATCGTAGAAAACTGCTTGGGAAGAGATCTAACCAGCTAGAATAGAAAAAAGCAAATAAAAGAGCTGATATAACTCCGGAACACCATGTGGTGTTCGCAAAGTAAAAATAAAGTTAAATATTAAAAATTTGAACAAGGAGCACTAAGAAAGTTTAATACAGCCTTCCTTTGAGATGTTAACAAGAAGACAGAAGTCAAAAACAGCCGAACAACAGCATTAAAGCCAGGTCACAGGCCGAATACTTAGAAGTAAACAAACAAGTGAAGGAGAATATTAGAGCTGACAAGTGGAAATCTGTTGTAGTCCTGGGAACAATAGTAGAACAGACTATGGGAGAAAGAAATGTGAATGAGATACATGGTCAGCCAAGAGGTTTTCTTGAAAATATATTGAACCGGAGTGACCAGTCAGGGACAAAGAAGACAAACCAGTCAGATTCAAGGGCGGCAAAACGAGTGTGCCTAGTACATTTAAGAGCCTTTGAGTAGGTCAGTACCTTGGAATCTACCGGATATTGAAGAAGCATACACAGACTTCCCTATAAGAGTTATCTCTCCAGCAATGGAAGATATCAGCAATGTCTCTAGACAAATCAGAAATGATAAAAAAGCAGGATCAGATAGCGTACCAGCCGAAGCACGAAAGTGAGATATATAGGTAATTTCAAAGATGTTCCCTGTTCTCTCTGTAAAGATTTGTGAGGAAAATTAAGTTCGAATAAACTGGAAGCAAGGACACCTCATCAAGATATTGAAGGGAATCTCAGTAAGTGTGAGAAATACAGATGTATCATAATACCGTCAGTACCAGGAGAAGTTTCCAATATATATAATGTCTCTACTAACTCTGTTGTTGAAATGCCTTCAATATTGAACTTGCAATTAAATATAAAGTACTATTTCTTTGATGTGGATAAATAAGACATTTTTTGGAAGAATCATAAGTGTCTGATTGAGTCTTTGAGAACTAGGAGTTACTGAACAGCCGATTAACAGTATTTTAGGAC